TAATTGCTCTGACTTTATTATCTTTTCCCTCCTCACTTGGAACTCAATCTTTTCTGAACTGCTCAATTTCCCCCTCAACTCAACTGTTGACTTTCTGCATTGCCCATTCATCATTCATTCACTTACTCACTTAACACATATTCATCAAGTGTCTTCAATGTCCCAATCCCTGTTCTTCACACTGAGTTTACTGCAGTGAATGTGACAGACTACGTATGTTCTCTCAATAATTTTCACTGCTTAGGTGAACCACATCTCTTCCAAAGGATTTGACTCATTTCTCTTTGACTTACTACCGTGTGTTTATGTCAGTTTTCAAGGACTCTCTGCCTGGAGCTTCAGCCTTGTATCCTGTCTCATGGTCATGTCTTGTCAGCACCTCAAATTCAACATGTCCTGGACCAAACTCTCCTCTTTCTCCCACAGCACTCCTGTCTCTGCACTTTCAGTTTTATCAATAGTATCATCCTTTCCTGATCACCACACATAAAGCTTCAGAGACACCCTAATTACTTCCTCTCCCTTGGTCCCAATACATCTCCCGATTCTATTTTTCTTCCTTTTGAACAAATGGTTTTTGCATCTGTTATTTCCCTTTCTTACTCACTACCATGTACTGAGGTTGGATCCTCATTTCAGCCCAAATCTATTGCACCTCCTACAGTGATGTGCTGTATTCTATTTAATTCTTCCTCTATAGCATCCTAGTCACTGTTGCCTAATTAATTTTAGGGTCATGTCAGAGAATACTGTGGGTATAGACCAGCTGCTATCTTTCTAAAGTACTTCTTTCAAAACCATTTTCCCACCATCTCACTCTACAAATACATAGTCTCAGCTCCTTTGATGACACCCAAAACTATCCATGTTCTGGCCTCATCACTCCCTCTCCAAGGATATTTCCTCATAGTCTTTCTACACCATCACCTCCCCCGTGGATTTCCTTTCTCCTCCTTCTGTTCAAGCTTGAAACTATTCCCCTCATTCCCAGAAATTCATATCGTAGCTCATTGTTCAGAACATTGGTTTTTAGAGTCAGACACATCCAGTGCAAAACCCTGTTCTGCCATTTACAAGGTATGCAACCTTAGGATGGTTACCTAACAGCTCTGTGTCTCAATTTTCCTATCAACAAAATGTAAGGGGAAACCTTGCTGTGGGAGAATTGTGAGGATTAAGTAGGATAATGCCCACAATATATGATCCATCTCACTATCAAATCTGTGTGCTCACTAGCTAGAATTCTGAGTGATGTCCTTAATAGTGAAAGTCTCTTATGGGGACAGTGTAACTGAGCACCCCTTTAACACTGTAGCCTCAGGCTGCCAGTGAGGCAGGAAGCTCATAAGCATGTGGTTTCATGCTGTGTGATGGCTCACACATTTTCTGCCCAGATAGTGCTTCCTTGGAGAGGCCTCCCTTGGTCTTTGCCTAAAATTGGCAAGTACCTCCACTTAATGTCGATACCTCATCTTCTTTATTTTCATCATAGAACTTTTCATCATGTGAAATAATCTTTCTTGCTCACTTTCTTGTCTGTCTTCACCCTGAAAAGTGAAGTTCCCATGGCAAGTCCCCATGACAAGTCCACATGGGCAATTCCATATAGGCAGGTTCACACAAGTGGATCTACAAGGATAGAGTCTATATGGCAGATCCACATGGGAAAGTCCACAGTATGGATCCACACAGGTGGGTCCACTCAGATAAGATCCCCATGGCAGGTCCACACAGCAAGATCCATGGGGTAGAGTACCCATGGCAAGTCTACATTGGTTCACGTAACAGGGTCCACATAGGTCCACATGGTCTCATTCTTTGTCTGTGCCTAGCACCACGAACAGCATCTGATGCAGTCTAATAAATGCCCAAAAGAAAGAATCTCTGCTTCTCTGAAGTACCTCCATCCTCAGACCCAGTTCAGATCCCTTCTCCGATAAGGTCTTGTGAATAACCCCGCCCACAGTAATTTGTCCTCTTTTGAAGCCCTGTAACAAATCCTCATCTAAATTCAGTTGAATCCTGGGGCACCTGGGTGCCTCAGTGGTTGAGCATCTATCTGCCTTTGGCTCAGGTCATGATCCCAGGGTCCTGGGATTGAGTCCCATATCAGGCTCCCCTCGGGGAGACTGGTTCTCCCTCTGCCTATATCTCTGCCTCTCTCTCTGCGTCACTCATGAATAAATAAATAAAATCTTTAAAAATAAATAAACAAATGAATTCAGTTGAATTCCTATGGCCATTGTCTATGCCATGTTCAGCTTGTGAATTTCTTGTGTTGTTAAGTATTATCTGTATTTGAATATGAAGTTATTTCTTATGTGTGACATTATCATTCATACCTTGTGTGATTATTTACCATATTTCCCAAATCAGACTATAAACTCCTTGAGGCCAAGACATGCTTTTCCATATCTCCTAGAATGATTCAGTACAACACTTTAGATGTGATGAACTAACAAACATTCATTTATTTATTGACCTCTAATAGGTACGTGGCACAGTTTTCAATGCTAGGAATGCACTGTCCCTAAATAACTAATTGGGTGACATTATTCAATTATTTCAGTGTGTACAGGTTAGGAAGAAGTAGCTCTTGGTTCTCTTGGAAGGCATCAGAAGGCTAGTTCAACCAGAGACTCAACTAGTTGGCTAAGTAACTTCAGATGGATCACAAACTCTCAGAGACTTCCTGGTCTCTCAAACAGAGATAACAACACTTATCTTACAGAATCATGAAAGAGATATATAGCAATACCTTATAAACTGCCAAATTCCATATAAATATCAGTTGTTACTATTACCACTAGAATAACATAATTTAGGCTGAAAGTGGAGCCAGTGTGAATAAAATACATTCAATAGTACTATTATTATCTTATTATTATCTTATTATCCAAAGTTAATAAGAAATCTGACTCTAGTTGTCACAATGAGCTGAGTGACAATCTTTGAGTAGGACTTCACATTGCCAAATGCCAAAGTCCAGCCAACATTTCCATGGGGAACTGCTGGTACCTCAGAAGGAATACCTGTACCAGGCATTACAGCTTTACCTGCTACTGAAAGTCAGAAAAGCCTGGGGCCATAAGCGCAGAGCTCCAGCCCACCCAGAGCTGCTCCTCAAATTTCTATAATGAAACTGTTCTTCAAATGCCCAAATCTCTGTCATCAAACTACCCCTGAGGTAGCCTGCTGAGATCAGGGATACATAAGCTTGGTGGTACTTCCATCCATGGCCAGGCATTCGATTGATACAAACATGCCTCACGTACAAAGGTCTGTGTTCCAATTAGAATTCACATGACTCTCAGTAAGTCACTACCTTTCTTCCTCGGACTCAGGCCTCAGCTTCCTGTGCTAGAGTCAGATCCCACCTTCAGGCTGGCTTTACTCTGTCTCTTGTGAGTCAAGCATTGCTCCCTTCCACTGAGGCTTGAGGCTTGTTGCTCCAACACATATCACTGGTGTGGGAGGGCCAGGTCCACGAATATCATCTGTTTGTAAACAGTTTCCACAAGTCACCTCCCACTAGGAATCACAGAATCTCAGAGATGGAAGCAGGGGCCCCTCCCACCTAGAGCAGGGCTGCCCTTCAGAGGCTCCCCAATAGGGGTCATTTGGCCTCAGCTCTAAACATCCAGGATGAATCAATGGAGCATCTCCTACGTCACCTCTGAGCAAATACTTTTGCTGGGTGGATGCCATGACAGAGCTTGCTAGTCATTGGGTTACTGATGGAGCAGGACCAAGAAGCCAAGCTTCAATTTTCTATGAGTCTGGGTGTGTCCACAGAGGCCTAAGTGTCCCTTCCCCTGAATGGCAATGATTTCTAAGGCAGTAGAATATGATGCCAAGTCTGAAAACATGGACTTCAGAGTCAGACAGATCCTGGTTCAAATCTCCTCTCCCTCATTCACCATCTGAGGGCCTTGGACCACTAGCTGTGCGACTTTTGGAAAGTTGCTGAAACTCCCTGAACCCCAGTTTTCTTAGATTAAACAAATGGGGGAAGTCTAGATTTTGAGATTACCATAGGGATCAGCTGAGATAATGGATGTAGTGTCTAGCCTTGTGCCTGGAACACAGGAAGTGCCCAGTAAGTGGCAGCTATTAATCCTATTATCACCACCAGTATTATTGTCTCTTCCATTTTGAACCAGCCAACACCACAGGAATGTTGTTCTCTCTATTTCCTCTTTCCTCAAGTGAATAGAGGTAAGATCTATGCCCACAAGCCTGGGCTTCAGACTTCAGGATGACCCCACCACCGCCATCACAGCCACCTCTAGAGAATAACATTGCCATGGTTCTGAGCATGGCCCATCATGCCCCAGAGTTCCAGAAGTCCACGATTCCTGGTTGGGCCTCACCTGTGTGGATGGTGCCTGGAGAGGGAGCTTCCTGGGCTCCTAGAACATTCGTCTTGGAAAAGTTTCCTCACCTAGGAAGGAAAGCAGTGGATTGATGATCCTCTCTGGCAAAAGAAAGTCTCAGATCACCTGATTCCAAAACCTCAAAGAATCACAGATCCAAGCCTTTGCCACAAAGCTGCCTGTGCAACAGGTCCTGATGGGCAGAAGGGTGAGCACATCCGCCACAAGGCTCTGGAAGGTTTCAGGGAACCAAGAGGGGCAGTTAAGAGTCTAAGCCTGATTGGGGTACCCAGTCTTCTTCATCATGCACTGCCTGAGTGCCTCTAAGTTATTTATCCCTGGTTTCTCTTCTGTAAAATAGGGTAACAGCACTTACCCCCTCTGAGTCATTGTGAGAGTGCCATGAGGTGATGCATGTTATGTCAAGTCCTTAGAACTCTGTCTGGCTCCATTTGTGATTTCTGCTATCATAATTAAGTACTAGAAAGCTACTCTTGTTCAGGCATGAATTTGACTTTTCTTCCTTTTAGATATGCCAAGCCAGGGCTAAATGAGAGATAGTGGACGGGGTAACATAACTCCATAATAAACACACAAATGAAAGAACAAATAGGAAACAAAGTGTTCTTGGAAGGTAGAAGCTTTATTATGACATGGACATTTATTAAGCACCTCCTGTGTGCAAGCCTCTGCCGACACTAGGGTCCAGTATTCCACACAACGGTGTTCAGGTTCCCGGGGAGGATAACCACACGGGGGTCAGACAGTTTGGTGGGGCTGAGGACAGAGCGGGTTTTGGAACATCCAGTGCAGGTAGGTTTACCGCGGGCGGGGGCGGGGGCGGGGGGGGGTGTCACACTCTGACCCAGCCCCGCGCAGGAGGGACTCAGGTGGGGAAGCAGCGCTCAGGGCGGGGTGGCCTTCAGCAGCCGCTGCAGCAGCCTTGGCTCTGGACGTTGCTGGAGCTCTGAGACCGCTGGCTGCGGCCCCCGCAGCAGCTGCAACACCCGCTCCGACGCTGTCGGCGGCGCCGCCGCGGGAAGCAGCCGCAGCCGCTGCAGCAGCCGCAGCCGCTGGAGTCCCCGCAGCAACCGCAGCAGGAAGACGAGGCGGGCTCAGGCTCGGGGGCGGGACAGGGGGCCGGGCCCTGGGAGGACCCCTTGGAGAAGCCTTTGGCGGAAGCTGCGCTCTGCTGGAAGGACATGGTGGAGCTCAGCTCTTCACGGTGAACCTGGAAGACGAGAAGCCTTTACATGCCAACAGGCCTTTTCACTCCAAGAACTGAAGTCAGGGCTTTAGAGACTTGACCGTGTGAGAAGCTAGCCTGGCCTGCTGTAGGGGGACGGAGGGGGAGCAATGAAACGCCACCCCAACCAGATGCTTCCAGTTAGTGAACCAGGCAGAGAGCAGGAAGCAGTCTGGAGAGAATCAATGGGTTTCCAGTTTCTCCAACTAAAATAAGAACCACCCAAGTTCTCACAGTGGAAACTAAAAAGGCTATGATGGCAATTTATCTGTGGGACCCGGTCCAAACTCTTCCTTTGGCCCTTTCCTCTTGCTTCATTTCCCTGTGGCCGCAGACCTTCAAGTCTGCACAGTTATTAGCATTCTATAAACAGCCATCAGAAAACACCCAAATCACACATGAGGACCTGCTGCCTGGGTCTAAGGAACCCACAAACACCAGAAGCATTATTCTTGCCGACAACCCCTGTGTACCCCACGAGTACAGGGAAAAGAGTGTGCCAGTCTGCATAGTGGTGTAGAGGATGCAAGCACCTCCCAGTCCAGGGAGCCAAAGAACTGCATTCTAGCCACATTCTTGCTAACCTTGCAAAAGTCACCATCCCCAGTAGGACCTCCATGTCCTCATTGGTACCATGAGAGTTTGACTCACTTGAAGCCTAAAGCACTGCTCTAACCTCACCTCCCCTCTGCCTTCAACTCTTCTAGAATTCCTCCTCCAAGTCCTGCTTAGACACTTACCAGACCTTGGCTCCACTGGAAGACTCACTCAGTTCTCCAACTGGAATGGGCTCCTGCTAGGCAGTGGACTGAGCAGTGGCCAGCCAGAGAAGCTTTTATAAGATTGCAACCAGGCACTGCCCATTTCCCAATAGACACGGTCAGCTGACACATCCCAGAGACATTCATCACTCAGGTAGCACTGTAGGTGGTGCACGTGGGTATTCAAGTCACTTCACAGAGGTGCCAGGATTGCTGTGGCATGTTTATTTTCCAAACAAGTCACTGTCCATAGCTGAGAGGGCTATGTGTGTGCTAAGAGAAGGCATGAGGGCTCAAGTGGGGTCTGAGACCTCTCTTTAGGACCTGTTCTCTTTGCCCCCTTCTATAATACACACACACACACACACACACACACACACACACACACACAATTCCCCCATTCGCACATCCATCCCTGTATAGTCATCTATTTGTTGTGGTAGTTTACTTACTTTATTATCTTGCTTCGCATCTCTCTGACTCTTGGTCCTTGGTTTTCCAAGTCAGGCCACAGGCTATGTGAAAAGCCTACTGGGTTTCATCTAGAAGCTTCCACATGACACTGAGTTAAGATGATGGTGGGGATATGCCTATGGGAATCCCAGTGGTGATTTCTCTCTGTCGGAAGAAAAATCCAGGCAAAGCTATGGAACCGTTAAGACCAAAAAAACTGTGAATGTAGTCAGATTGCCGTATCTCCATACAGACTTGGAGGCTTAAGAGAAAAATGTATGCTGGGTGTCTGGCCCAATTGCAAAATGCTAATCCAGCTTGTGGGACTCACTGCTTCTTACTCCCCACCACCACCAAAACCCTTTTGAGGATAGATTCCCCTTGGTGCCACTGGCTAATAGAAAGAGGAAGGAAGGAAGGAAGGAAGGAAGGAAGGAAGGAAGGAAGGAAGGAAGGAAGGAAGGAAGGAAAAGGAGGAAGGAAGTAGGGAAGGAAGTTAAGCTAGGCCTTACCCAAGGTCCAAAGTAAGTAATGGTGCTTTTAGAATAACTGAATTTTAAAAACTAGAACAGAGTTTGGAGGTCAACTGGCTTCAGAATGTCTTACTGAATACAAGCACCCACAACCATAAAGATGAGATAAAAGAGAAACCCAAGACTAAGAATTCAAGAGTTGATGGTGAGACATAGGTTGAAGGTGAGTGAGCTGGGCATGGCATGGTGGAACAGACAAGGAAAGGTAAGTCATGAAAGATACCAGTTTCATTTAAGGTACCTTTAGAGCCTGATTAACAGGTTGCATGTACCTGGGGCACCTGTTGGTGAGTACAGGTGAGACATTCCAAGAGGTGAAGTCTTATTAGAATAAAGAAGGAAGTAATGAAGTAACAAGACCTCCAGAAAGGAGATCTTTTCTGGGAGATGACATGGGCAAGTACATGATCACTATATGGACTTGTGGCCTCATATACTAACTTACTTCACCTATCACTGTTAACTTATTTCAAAGGAAAAGCTAATTGTTCTTCTGGTCTATAAAAGGCTGATTTAGAATTATCATTCCTATCATAAACTTTCTGAGTATCTCCTGAAGGAATCAGCATATTCCTAAAGAAAATGGAAAACTCACTTTAGTGACAAAAGCCCCCTTGTTCCCCTGACCATACACACACACATATACACTGACCACATGGAGACAGTCTTTGGCAGGAGAAGGGTGCCCTTTTTGATTCTATATTCAGACCACATTCAGGTTTTCATGATGCAGGGAAAATGGACTCAGATATTTCATACCTGTCTCCTAAACTCACTCCCCCAAATCCAACCCACCCCCTCCTGCCCCCAGCTCTCCTCTCTAGTAACTGATAGAAGCACCTGGGATTATAATCATCAGAAAAATAAAGAGTATTTATTTATTGGAGCCCAGAATAAGCACTTTAGGAGGCCTTATCCCCATAACTAGGAGATAAAGTCTTAAACTATCACCCATACTTGAAGGAAACCCACATCCTCCCCACAGAGTATCTATCTCATATCACTGTGACCTTTCTGAGTACCACCATCCTCCCCTCTGAGGGGAGTCCTTTCATGCAAAGCTTGTATCAGGGCAATAGTCTCCGACATAATTCTTTCCTTCAACCCCAAAGTTTCCAAATTCAGAGCATAAAAGGGAATATTGTTTCCCAGAGTTCTAAGAAGCTTCAGTACCAACATGTTCTTCCTAAATTGAATTATAATCACTTGCACTTAAGAGAATGGGAGGGGAAGAGAGGGCTTGATGGAGGAGGTGACTGGGAGAGGTGAACAAGACATAATCAGGAGGCTGTGACATCAGGAATAAGAAGCTTTATTGTTACAGAGAAAGCAGCTTCATAACTGAACTCCAACTCCAAGTCCTCCAAAGATCTATGTCCAAGAGGGAATCAGGCTAGTGAATGTCATGGGTTAAACCTCTAGACCTCACAGTGGAATGGACATGGGCAGAAGAAAAGGAAAAGTCAAAGCATTTCAGACGCCTTTCCATACTCTTCTGTTCTTTCAAATGGGGAGATGTCTCGCCTGGGCGGGTCTTTGGCACATTGGCTCTTCCAGCGCTGCTCCTCAGTGCTCCTCATGGCCCAGGTCAGCAGCTGGAGCCCCCAGAGCAGCAGCCAGAGCCCCCAGAACTGTGGCAGCATCCAGAGCTCCCGGAAGAGCAACCAGAGCTTCCAGAGCTGTGGCAACAGCTGGAGCCACCAGAATGGCCACCACCATTGCCACAGCAGTCAGAGTTCTGGTGTCGGCGTCGAAGAGATCGGCGGGGCCTGTGGTGACTCAGGCAGCAGCGGCCACCCCCAGAGCTGCAGCAGCCACTACCCCCAGAGCTGGAGCCACAGCAGGAGATTGGAGATGGGGAGGGGGCTGGGCACTTAGGGGGGCATTTGGGTGGACATTTGGGAGGACACTTAGGAGTACCCTTGGGGGGGCACTTGGAGGGGCACTTGGGAGGGGGCTGGCATTGCTGCTGGCCTTGCTGGCAGGACATCTCAGCAGGAGCTGAATGAAGCTGAAAAATGAAATGGCATTTTAGATTCAGCCCAAGAAAACTTCCCTGCATTTAAAACTGAACTATGAATTCATCTTTATGATGATCAGATTTTTAAACCCAATCTCCCAAAATCAATTACAAGAAATACACAAAAGGTTTCGACCTAGGAACTCCATAAATTTAAATGAATTCTTTGTAGTTTCCCTTCGCCTACCTTTCACCCCACCCCTTCAGTAGAACCCTCCCAACCAAATCCTCTTTCCTCCTTGTCTTACTTAGGATTGTCCTCAGCCTGGGGTGCTTCATGAGCTCAGTTGGTTAAATGTCCAAGTGTCTGACTCTTGATTTCAGCTCAGGGTAATTTTGGCTCAGGTCATGATCTCAGGATTGTGAGATCAAGCCCCATGTCAGGCTCTGCACTGGATGTGGAGCCTGCTTAAAAACTATTTCTCTCCCCAGGTGCCTGAGTAGCTCAGGTCATGATCCTAGGATCCTGGGATCGAGCCTCACTCCAAGTTCCCTACTCAGTGAGGAGTCTGCTTCTCCCTGTGCCTCTCCCCTGACTGTGCTCTCTCTCTCTCTCTCTTAATTTAAAAAAGTTTTTAAAAAATATTCTTTCTCTAAGATTTTCCCTCTCCCTCTGTACCTCCTTGCCCTCCTAAAAATAATTTATTCTGATCAACGCCAAGAGTTCCTCCTGGCCCTTGAGATGTACTTTACCTGGTTCAGGCACTGGAGCAGATCACCTAGGATGCAGGTAGACTGAGGTGCTGTTAGAAACTTCCACTTTTATACAGGTTCAGCTCTGACCTGATATGAGGAGGTGTGGACCACGTGCGAGATGCTAACAGCATCTTTCACAAGGGGCGTGTGTAACTATCTTCCCTTCACCTCCCAGGGACCCAATTCCTCCCTCCATAAACATGTCAAGTATTAGCTTGTCAGGAAGGTCCCCCGAGAATTGCAGAGCACTAGGATAGTGATAGTGCTTTGTGAATTGCACACATTGCCTGTCAGCCTCACAGGCAGCTCTGCTATGCTTCCTATTTCCTGAGATGGGTCAGTGATGGGGTTCAAGACATCAGGGATGAAGAGAAGTCCTCTCTCTCTCTCTCTCTCTCTCTCTCTTTTTTTTTTTTTTTTTGGTTTGGAAATGGAAGGAAAAATTCCCAAGATGGAAATCAATTGGCTCCTTTTGGAATGAGATTAGAGATCCAAAATCAAATGCCAGGCCCAAGCCAATGACTTAATGTGACTTTTTCATTCTTAGATGATGCCATAACCCAGGCTAAGAATGCTTGATATCTCTGTGATGTTATTTTAGTCAGTTCTAATGCAGATGGTGTGGGTGGTTTGGCTTCTCTCCTTACCTGAACTTGACATACCAAGAGAACTCACAAATAGCACGGTTTCAGCACTAATGATCCCTTTGAAAGGGCAGAAGAAGTCTAGGAACAGCTTCTCTTTCCACATGGGGTCTTAAAGAAGACATCTTTGGTCAGCCCAAGATGAGTTAGCAAGGGCCAGGCGTATGCTGAGGGTGGAGCAGGGGACCTAGACTCATGGAAGTTGCCAGAAGCAAGGCACTAGTTCCAGTCATCCCTAAGAAAAGAGCACCCAACCTGGGAAGATCCTTTTTGTTTAAATGACCTTCAGATGAGGGCGGAGAAGGAAGAGCACATAGCTTTTATAAGCTTACCATGGAATCCACAGCATTTTCCCCCCTACAAACAATATACTGAGTACAAGTTAGGTCCCTAGGAAAGTCATCAAACTCTAGCTGGAAAGGTAGCCAAAATATGGCAGGTTTACAATAAAAAGTGGAGGAGGAAATAAGAGAGGGGGAAACATACAACTCCTCAGCTTCTGTAGTGAGCGGATTACCTGCATTGAGAAGCATGTTGCTAAATTATAGCACAATTTCTGGAGAAAGACTCTGGCATTCGTTCCCAGCTTTGCAAACTCAGGCAACTTACTTAATCATCACTATGAAAAGGGGCTGAAACAAATCCTAGACCACTAAATAAGGAAATATAAAGTCTTAAAATCATGCCCAGGACTATTAGTTCAAAATGCTAGTTTGAAAAGAATCTAATCATTATGGATACTCTTACATCCATGAGAAATATCCTTTTAACTTCAAATGACTGATCTGCCAATTTTTGAATCCAAAATTATTTTTTGAGTATCAGACCTGAGCCCTAATATTTTCTTATAAAAAGATTCATGGTACTTACTTGCTACTGTGGGATGAGATTATAAGAAAGTCTAATCATTATGAAAAAGATACAGATAGGAAGAATTTTTAAAAGAGTTTATTTATTTATTTGACAGGGAGAGAAAGCCAGAGAGCACAAGCAGGGGAAACAGCAGAGGGAGCAGTTTTTCCCTGCTGAGCAGGGAGCTCGATGTGGGGATCATCCCAGGACTCTTGGATCATGACCTGAGCCAAATGCAGACACTTAACCGACGAGCCACCCAGGTGCCCCGCAGATAGGAAGAATTTAAAATTCATTTATAATCACATCCTCTGAGCAGTCTTAATATTTTGCTATTTTCATTACAGCCTCCATTTGACTTTTTTCTGTTTTTTTTTTAACTGCATATGGCTTTTTAGTGATTTGTGTTTTGCTTTGACCTTACAAAGTCTTTATCATAGTACTATCTGTAAGAGTTTATCGTACTAACTTTTAAGATTTAAACATAAATGTTTCCCCTGTTGCTATTCATCCTTTGTAAGCATTATTTCTGGTAACCATAGAACATTTTGCATCTAGTAGCCACTGAACCCATTTATAAGTGGTCAAGAGCATGAGTGGAAGAAACAGTCTATGGTTTAAATCTCAACTCCCTACTTACCAGTTGTATGGTTTTGGACACATCACATTTTTAGCTCTCCGTCTCACTATCTTCATCTGTGATATGAGGAAAGTAATAGTGTTTATCTTATAAGATCCTTTGCAGATTAAATGAGTTAACATCCACAAAATTCTTGGAATAAAAAAAAAATTCTTGGAATAGTGCCTGGTGCATAGTAAGCACTTAATGAATGTTAAAAGTGAAATGTGACACTGTCCCACTTCCAAATGGCAGCAAAGGGTGGCAGTCGTGTTTAAATAAAACCCACCAGGTGGGGAGCCAGGGAGCTTGTTTTGGCTGTTAAAGCTCTGTGCATCAGAGCATCCACCTCTTCCCTCCTCACTGAGAACTATAGGAAAGGATACATATCACAGGCTCTGAATTTCTGGAAAAAGAAACCCAACAGAAGTTAAAGAAATTGCCCATTTAATACATGGGTATGATGAATTTTGAAGGGAACAATGTCCATACCTCTTACTTATAATTCCTTGTGATCACCTAGCTGACACACAATAAGGTCTTTGACTGCAGGAACCCCTAAGAAATCCAGTTTAATGTTTTGTAGGCAGTAGACACTCAATTTTCATTCCTTGTTCAGTTGAGTTTGCTATTCAACAAGAAGGATGGGTGCCTCCAACGGATCAACATTGAGATTTTCATTGATAAATCCCAGACATTTCATGGAATGATAGAACAGATGTATAAAGGACCTTGGCCATCATTCAGACACAGTGGTTCTCAATTCCAATGAGGTATGGGCACTAACAGTCTCCAAAACTTCACTGGGTGGTTCTAATGTGCAATAGGATGAGAATCACTGATTTTGATCATGCTCCTTATTCTACAGATGAGGAAACAAAGGTTCAGAGATGAGAAGAGTCTTGTACCAAATCACACAAAAACTCAGAGGCAGAGCTGAAATTCAGATCCTGCTATCAGACCTCTATCACAGCACCCTGCCTTTTGTATATTTTATTTCCTCTTGTGATTTTTTTCTAGCAAGTTTTATATTACATAATTTGCTTGTTAAACATGGCTATTGAAGTTGGGGTAAAAATCATCATAAACATGGTGAATCTTTGTCTGAATTTCATGTTTAGAAAAGCTGGAAGTAATCTTTACTGCTATCCTTTCAGTAACCAGAAATTGAGTACCTACATCTGAAAGGCAGTGTCTGGCATTACAAGGGGTGGGCTAGCTGGTGGGCCTCAAGAACCCTCCCTGGGTCAGTATGACTTTGATGACATTTCCTTGGGCCAGAAATCCTACTTTGTCCAGCCTCTGAGTTTACCAATCCTGGCAATGCTGAGTCACTGCAATTAATTCCCAAGAGACTGATGACATTAATTGACAAAGAAACACGTGAGTGTTAAATATTGGCCTGATGGATATATTCTCTTCCTGTAGGAAAACTCCTCAGAGAAGTTGAGTCATAGTCTGGAGGTTCTTGGTGAGGTGAGATTGCATAATGGTCTCAGGTTTTGATGGTGAACAAAACAAGATGTGCCCATCAGGTCCTCTGAATACCTTCCAGCCTGAGTGGTCCTAAAAACATCTACTGCCTGCTCTTCCTCTGCGCTTCTTTGTAGATAAACCCTTTCACTGCCAGACCTTGGCCAACCTTTTCACTGCCAGACCTTACCGCCTCTTTAGGGGGCTTCTGCTGAGTAGTGCTCCCATTCATTCCATGCTGATTTTGGAATTTAATATTGGAATGGTAATTTCATTATTTGCCTTCTTTTCATTACTCACTATTGTCCTGATGCACACTCACTATTACCCGTAATGACTCGCCCTTCAAAGATGGCCATGTCCTTATCCCCAGAGCCTAGGAATAGGTTACCATAAACAGCAAAAAAGACTTTGCAGATGTGATTAGATTAAGGATTTCGAGCCAGGAAAATTATCTTGGATTATCCAGGTAGGCCCAATGTAATCTAGGGGTACTTTAAAGAGGGAGGCAAGATGGTCAATGTTAGAGAAAGGAAATGTGACAACTGAAGCAGAGGTTGGAGTTATGTGCTTTGAAAATGACCATGAGCTAAGAAGTTTGGGAAACTTCTAGAAGCTTAGAAACAGTAAGGAAATAGGCTCTTCCCTAGAGCCTCTAGAAAGTATGTAGTTCTGCCAACACCTTAATCTTAGCCTGGTAAGACCCATGCTGGACTTCTGACCACAGAAAAAAATAAATTAGGGTTATTTTAAGCCACTAAGTTTATGGTAATTTGTTACAGCAGCAATGAGAAACTAATACACACAGCTAGATTTTAAAAATAGCTTCAAGTTTCACAACATAGTTTACTTAAAATGAAATCAAATTTATTAGTTATTTCCACTGATATTTGGAATTAAAGGTTCACATCTCTGAGTTTGACAGGGTATCTTTGGCCAAGAGGAAAACTCAGTAAACGCACAACAGAAAATTCTCAAAGATAAACAAAGATATTGCCTGGGTTTATGTCCCAGCTCTGCCATTTACTAGCTGTGTGTGTGAATCTGCATACTTGTCCATAAAATGAGGATAATAACAGTGTCCATCTCATAGGGTTATATGAAGAGTCCTTGAGATAATGCTTATGAAGTCCTTAGCCCTGGACATGGCATGTAGGGAGTGCCCAGTAACTGTTAGCCCTTCTAATTCTTTTCATTATTGCTGCTGTCCCCAGCAATAGTAATTAACAATCAGTGGAAACCCAGAGATGTCAGGATTTTTGGTAGGGCATTCCCAGGCCCCTCTTTCAGCCTGTCAGCTCCCAGCTACCTATTTCCTAGATTGGGGCTTGACAAATTCCATAGAGTAGGAGTAGACAAATTGCCACCACTTTGGGCCTATTTGAATTGTCAGGATAGTTTTTGTATCTCTTTTCAGGAAAGAAAAGGAGATGGGGCTTCTTATACTTTCACCATGGAAAG